TCTTTCTTTCTTTCTTTCTTTCTTTCTTTCTTTCTTTCTTTCTTTCTTTCTTTCTTTCTTTCTTTCTTTCTTTCTCTCTCCCTCCCTCCCTCCCTCCCTCCCTTCTTTCCTTCCTTCCTTTCGTCTTTTTGAAAACAGGGTTTCCCAGTAGCCCCAGCTGACCTGGAACTCACTTAGTAGATCAGGCTGGCCCTGATCTCAGTGAGATCAACCTACCTCTGCCTTCCCAGTTCTGGGACTAAAAGTGGGTACCACCATGCCCAGCTTTTATATTGTTTTAATAAGATAAGGTTTTGCTAAGCAGCTGAGGCAGGCCTAGAACCAGAGGCAATCTTCCTGCTTCAACCTCCTAAATGTTAGGATTATAGGCCACTATGCTCAGCTCAATTTCTGTTTTATTATCTTTGTTTTTTTAAGATATCAGTTTATTATAAAAGGGCGGCATGGAAATTATTTTCATGATGAAATATTTCAGAGCTTCAGTGGAATGGGCAGCTTTGTGTGATGCCATTTCAACAGTGGTTTCAGTCTACATACTTCCCAAGAATGTCACTGTCTCTAAATAAGAAATAACCCTTGTCGTCTATAACTACTTTGGTGCCTCCGTACTCTGGGAGAAGAACTTCGTCTCCAACTTTCACACTAACTGGTTGAATCTCTCCACCCTTTCCTTTAGAGCCTGATCCCACAGCTGCTGCTGTTGCTTGCAATACTTTTCCTTGAGATTTTTCTGGAAGCGTAATGCCACCTTTGGTGACAGTTTCAGCTGCACTCCTTCCAGCCAATACTCTGTCAAACAGCAGAAGAAGCTTTCCAAATGCCTCCTTTTACCTTCCAGTCTCCTTAAATATCTGATAACACACATGTGAGCTGTCCTTCAGCAAAAGCTTAGGACACAACTAACTTGCTTTTGATACCAAAAAAGTTTCCTTCCCTATAAATGTGATCAGTTTACATTATTTATTCTTAAAGCTATTTCTATTCGTAAAAGAATTTGAAGTGTTGTGTCAGGCAAGATGGTGTTTTATTTTGTTTCGGGGTAAGACTGGCTCTTGAGAGTGCGTGTAAAGCTGCTTTGGGGAAGATCTCGTGTGTTACAGGAGTGGTGGAACTCATCAAGGGCTCCATCAGGAAGTGGTCCTTGTCTTAGTTAACTGAATGCATTTTTGCTGAAATAGATCTGTGTTTTTTCTATCTGAATATTTTCTTTTCTTTCTTTAGGAAAGTTGTGGAGCAGAAGTTTGAAGTTGGCCTACACGCTGCTTAATAAACTGGGGACCAAAAATGAACCTGTATTAAAACCTGGAGATAGGGTAATTAGTTTTGTTGTTTTTGCTTTAGAAAGGTAGTGTCCATTTGTTTCCAGTTTTTGCACTCTGCAATTTTAATGTACAATGAGAAGATTTATATAACCCTTATTCTTAGAAAATAAAAATAGTTTTCAAATAGCTTAACTGAGTACCAGGTACTAGTCTGTGCATTCAGAGGCAGAACGTAGTTCACGTGCCTCCTTCTAGGGCTGCTTATTGGTAAACTCTGGAGGTAATAAAAAGGGGCATCCAAGTCTTTTTCTTAAAGTAAATGTTCTGAAATTGACTCTGATACTTGCCTTTACAAAAAATGACTCATAGCTCAGCGTGGTAGTGCACTCCTTTAGTCCCAGCATTCAGGAGGCAGAGGCAGCTGATCTCTGAGTTCAAGGCCAGCCTGGTCTACATGGTGAGTTCTGGGTCAGCTGGGGCTACAGGGAGACCCTGTCTCAAAAAGATCCCCTCTCCAAAAAAAAAATCAAAATTATTAAAAGCAACTTTCTATCATTTCACATAGGGAAGGAAATTTGTGTTACATGTAAGAAGCAAATTTATAGTTTCATTTCTTCATTGGTGGTGACATTGTTTTAAAAACATTTTTGGAGAGGGACTGGAGAGATGGCTTAGCAGGTGGGAGCACTGACTACTCTTGCAGAGGACCCAGGTTTGGTTCCCAGAAACCCACGTGGTGGCTAACAACCATCTGTGACTCCAGTTTCAGGGGTCCAGTGCCCTCTTTTGACCTCTGTGGACAGTGCACACACATGGTAGACATACATGCAGGTAAAACACTCATACAAATTAAATATAAATAAATAAATAATTTTGAAGGATTTTTTTTGTCTTAGTAGTGTTCCAAATACAATTGCCTTCATTCTATGCTGTCTTCTGCATAGGCATGGACAATGCATGACATGGTGTACTTACATATATGCAAGCAAAACACTCATACACATAAAAAATAAAAGTAGCAGGGCGTGGTGGTACACACCTTTAATCCAGGCACTCAGGAGGCAGAGGCAGGTGGATCTATGTAAGACTGAGGCCAGCCTGGTCTACATACTGAATTCTAGGCCTCCAGGGTTAACAAGGAGACCTTGTCTCAAAAAGACAAAAAGATTTTTAAAAGAGTTTAAAAATGGTTGTTTAAATGTCCTATAGAACTAGTACTTTTTAATACTCTAGGAAAGTTTAAAGGTTCAGACTGAACTTACCTTTGGAGCGAGTTAAAGGAATGTGAAAGCAAAAGAAGGAAAAACCAGAATCCAGTGATACATGGCTAGAGAAATGGCTCAGTGCATAAGGGTGCTTGCTGCTTAAGCCTGAGAATCTGTGAGTTCAGTTCCTGAAACTCACAGTGGAAGAAGAAGACCACTGACTCCCAAAAGTTGTCCTTTCACCACACATGTGCCATGGTACACACATATCATATACACATACACATATATACACTAATAATAAATAAAATTAAACTGCAAGAAAATTAAAAAGAATCCAGTGATATGGTTAAGTTTCATGTGTTAATTAGTGAACATCCAAGCCAGGTTATAAGTTCTAGAGTGATAGTGACTTCTGTATTTTTGTATTCCTTAAGTAAAGTTGGATTATCCCTGTGATGTGTAATAGGTAAAATCACAGATTTGAATATATAAA